TTTGGAGCAGTTTTGCAACCAAACAAAAGCTGAAGCTAACTAACAGCTCTCTAGGAAACTAGGCTACTTACAGTACCTGCTTCAAAACAAGCAACTCCAACACTCGGTATCCCTGGAGCCTCTTCAAAACGTCCAGACTCGCCAATGTAGCTTCCCAAAACTCTAAGATTCTTTATATTCACTATCGGTGAACGTGCACTGGGGGGGGCGAGGGAGGGAGGAGGAGGAGGAGGGCAGCAGGCCCCCCAGAGGTTTCTGGAGAATGTGGTCCCAACAGGGCCATGCTCTCACAATGCCCAAAGGCTAATTAATTACACACCACAGGATGCCATGGGATTATAGTTGAATTAATAGAGCGCTTATCATCTTACAGTGCTCATTTAAGGACTCGTTTGTACAGTATCTGTATGTCTACCAATAGGGATGAACAACCCAATAAACAAGTACTGGGATCAATACCAGATGGTGCATTTTTAATGCCTCTCATTATATTTCCTTGAATTTTTCTACCAGTAGTTGAATGAGCTAATAATAATTGATTACAATTATATAGAGCTTTTCTGGACACTCCACTCAAAGTGCTTTACAGGTAATGGGGACTCCGCTCCACCACCACCAAGGTGCAGCCCCACCTGGATGATGCGACGGCAGCCATAGTGCGCCAGAACGCTCCCCACACACCAGCGATCAGTGGGGAGGAGAGCAGAGTGATGAAGCCAATTCATAGATGGGGATTATTGTGAAATTTGGCCAAGTCACCAGGTTCCTGTTCAGGAGAGCTGATGATATGGTGTGAATCCTAGTTGAGAAAGGGCTTGTGTGTATAATACAGAAAAACAATAGAACAGCCTGCTTTACGTGGACAGCTACAGACCCACTACATCAGGCTATCTTCTGTACATGCAGTGTGAGGCTTGCTCTGCCTGTAACTTACAGTGTAAGGTAATTACAGTATTTTTTCCCCAGTTCTTGAACTTGGTGAGTTTTAGAGTCAAACACATTGCATTCAACCTTCCCCATTTGATCTCTCCAACATGCTGAGTATCCTAATGCTCTCAGTAGTGAACATAAATCTTAACACGGGCAGGTGGGACTGCCTTCATTAATGAGGTAATCCTCTGCCGACGAGCCTGCCCTCACAACTGGTGGGTTCAAACACATCCGCTGTTCTAAGTTTCACCTGGGCGCTCAAATCAATTAAATCCTTATCAGAACTAATAATAATAGGTTTGAGCTCTTTAACCATTTTCAGTCCCTAAACAAGTAGGAAAGCTAAAAAGAAAACTTGTAAAGGTAGTCCAAGTAGGGAGCTGTGTCAGCATGCGTAGGCTGCAAAGGGAGAAGTAAAGGTTTCTTCCGTGCTGAGAAGAGAAGAAAGGAAACACAACATTTCAGCTGTGGAGCCTTCTTCGAGTGTGAACAAAAGGTCCCCCCCCCCGCAGAAGGCTCCACAGCCGAAATGTTGTGTTCCATTTCTTCGCTTTTTCAGCATGGAATAAACCATTCAAATATAAAGGTTGCAACCAAGTGACTTCTTGGCTCGATTCAGGTTTCGTTGAACTAAATAGATCAGCTGTGATGACAACCACCAGGTGTGGGGGTCCAGGACCAGGCCTGGAAAGCGCTGCTCTGGGATACTTTGCCTGAACTGTCAAGCTGCTCACGCAGTGTGCTTTGCACTTCCTCCCTCGTTCATTCATCGCTGGCCTGGGCGCAGACTCTCAGCTTTGGCTGCGTGTGCTGTAAAGGCTTTTAGAGGCTCCATTTAAAAAAAAAGGCTTTGTTTTGAATAATTAAGAAAACCTTTCCTTGGGCAGGTTGCTGTGCATGGGATCTGAACAAGATGAATGAGAAACACGCTTTTAGAAATTAACGAGAATTTATCGCACATATTTGATCCGATTTAGTGGATACACTGAAGGCTGCGCTTGTGGGAGTGAGATTAAAACAGTTACAGTAATGCTGACTCTCTCGGCTCACGATAACCGCCAAATAAGAGGCTGTAAGAGACTTGTCTGTGTAACATCAATGCTGGGCGTTATCCTGTACGACGATCAACAGAAATATGTTTGAACTCACTGAACTTGTCATTTTGCTCTCTAGTGATGGATTTTCCTCGAATCGTCCTGACTTAGACCAATTCACAACCTCTCCTAGTTGTGACTAAAAGGTTTCACTGTTCGGAAGGAAGCATTCACAAAGCAAATCAGAGGTGATGCAGTCCTGCAACTGTGTTCTGTGTATCACATCCATCTGATTCGGGAGAAGCCCAGAACACCTGGGATCCAAAGAATGATTCTGTGGAAATTGTGATTTTCAGTTTTTGGGCCTGGAATGTGACCCAGATTTGCGGGTACTTTATTCGTGTATGGATCAGATTACAGCTCAGCAGATCTTGGGATTTTTGAATGCTCAATGTCCTTTGGTATTTTCATTCAGTATGTCAGTAAGGAACTTCATTTAAAGGCTGGGATTTTGCGTGATGGCTCTTCCAGTGGGACTATTGTGGTCCAGCACGGTATTGCTGTTTCAAAATGCAAATGGAAGAAATGAGTGCGATGTCCTGCACTGCCGCCAGCAAGACATGATAGTGTTGGCAAGAGACAGGCAAGTCCCGTACAGAAAGCCAGTTCATCCCGCTGCTCGTGCGCCCGAGATCGGTGTGTGTTTTCCTCAGCTCGCGAACCCCCCTGAGCGCGTGCAGGCTACTCTCGGGTGACCCACTTCCGCCCCTTTGTTTTCGGAGCTGCGCTACAGTCTTGCCAATCCAGGTCGTTTGTGTTGTGCACGTTACGACAGGGAAAGTGCCTGCTGTCCGTAAAAACTGCGACTGGGCGAATCATCCGCTGAAGACCTTCAGACCACATTCAGAAAATAATTCTAACCAAACAAACTTTAATCCCCTTCCGTCGCTGAAAACAGCGCAGCGACGTTTTAAGCAGTCACGTAACCCGACACCTTTAGATGATTAATTTTTCCACATTTGATTTCAAGTTGGGGAGTTATTTTCCATTTTAGAAATATGGAATGGTAGAAGATGTTTAGACATTTGACAACGACCACCAGTAAGAACTGTCGACGCTTGACATCAATTACTTTCGT